TTACGTAGTACGCTATCAAATATAAGTAGACTCAAAAGCACAAAAACCTTGAGTCATTTCCTTTTGTGAATCTGTGGGTATGATATACTGTAGCCTGGCAGGTATTGACAGTCGACCTTTTCCATTACCAGTGGTGAATATAGCCTTGGGGCCGTGCCCTTCACTTACCTCCCATTGAGCATGAGCAGAGCATGTTGTACATGTTACTTCTGAGTAACCCTCTAAACCAAAGGTGAGACCCCATCAATCATTCTGAACAAAGTCAAGGCCGACATTTCTCCTGGGAGCTGACAGCCGAACAAAAAGCTGATGCTTCACTGTTCTTCGCTAAAAGGCTTCACTTATCAAGAGCATGCCAGCAGAGAGTGTGGAACAAATCCAAATCCCTCCACCGCTCACCCTGGTGAGATATGTAGATAAATAGAGTTTTTTTCTTTTTTGATTTGTCAAACAGATAGCAGTAGATAAGCAGAAATCTTCAGTTATCAAGGATCTGTTAAACATATAGGATCCTGAACCCAGGGTTAAGAAACAGTTTCAAATGACCAAAGTTCTCCAATCATTAAGCAGCACACTGTTGCCTGTGCGATCCTGTCAACAGTTGCCCCAAAATTTCAGATTTTCAGACATTGCCGTGCCAGCCAGGCTTTACTATACTGAATAATGACAGTGTTAATTGTCTATTTATTAGACTAATCAATGATCTAATCGCCTCACATCACTACTTAGGTACAGGTTATTCAGTCACTGGAACCAGTCAGATAACAGAGGAAAAAAAAAAGAATATAAACTGAGTCCATTAAATCTACACATTTAAAGTAATGATTAAAAGTTAAGTCTAGTATTGACTTTCAGGATGTCTGGCAGCCTTTTCCCATTGTGCCAAAAGTTAGAAAGTACTGAGAAACACAAAGTTATTTTTGTTTCCACTGTGTTTTAGAGACAGTAAAGATTTAAAAGTGACCATTTGATTTGAGAAGTTGTTTTTGTGTATGGTGAAACAAAATATAATTATATTACTCATACTCTTTCTGATGAAACAATATGCTCCAATACCAAAACATGATGACATA